ATAAGAAAAATATTTTGGGGCTCGTACGCTGGGTTGAAAGCCTTGGAGTGTATATAGCCTAGAACAAATTTATCATTTTAAATTTTACGAACTTTTAAGTGTATAAAAAGAAGTAAAAACTATAATTACGTGTTTAAAATTATGAATATAGTACTACAAATAACTTTTAAGGATACAAAAACATAACGAACGTATTATAAGTTTGCTAAAGTCATGGCTTGGTTGGGTTTAGTTGCCGTGAAATAACTTTTAGTATATAAATAAGTTTTTAACAAGACTACGTTCATATTTCAATCTTCTTTTACTTTTATATGTTATGTATATTAGGTTTTTTTAAAAAGTCAGACGTTACTGGACCAAAATGACAGCGACAGACAGAACAGACAGACAGAAAGTCTATATAAAAAGACCAGACAGAAAGTCTATATAAAAAGTTCATAAGATTGAAGATATTTGAGTCGAAAACCTGATAAAAAATATAAGAACAAGACTTCTGGGCTGTTGGTTGTTTTGTACAAAGTAGACGGAACGAACGGTTTTGATATATTTATGTATATAAGTTCTGTTTGAGATTACCACGGATTCATTTGATGCACGTTTTTATAAATAAAGTTTTGGATTCCTCATTTCACTGTCCGATTAAAAATTTTGGTACAAAAAGAATCTAGAATATGAAATAAAAAGTGCATAAAAGAGATATAATATTAAAAAGGAAAGTAAAATTATAATTAAGTTAAAAACAAATGAAGTTTTTAAAATGTACAAGCGCAATCTTTAATTTAGTTTCCAATATTACTATTAGCAGTTCAAGCTCAGTACAATTTGATACTTGTCTTTTTTTCCGCTCGAGTTTATGGCTGAAAAAATTAATTGCTTGAATTATACTAAGGCTTATTTTTAAAATCATTTTTCCACTTTTGTTTCAGTTTCAATATAATGCCTATAAATGCTATGGGTTCAAATGTATTAAAGAGAATTATGATAAAAAATTTACCCTTCTTTTAAAACATAATTCATTAGGTGGGTTAATTATGAATAATGTTCGACTATTTATCATTTAGTCTTCTCCCAGTATTCATAAATTTATATGAATGTTCGTTCCTCAATCACCTAAAAGGGCATAGGCTAATTAAGATAAAATTTTGTATGCATTCTGATTTGTATGTATTATGGTAAGAAATATCGGGTTTTATACCAACCAAAAGTTCTAAAAGAGTAATAGCAGATAGACATGCATCAAGCGCTTATGTAACATATTTATTGTGATGTGATTCTTGTTTTTTAATAAACTAGTACACATCAATACTCATGGCGTTGTGATGCTTATAATACCGTCGCAATGAAGAGAAAGTTTACTGCTTTAATCTCAGTTTTAAAGTGAAAAAAAGTTGTTCCTAAAATCCTTTCTCTTTTTTATTCCGTAGCATATTAAGAAAATAAGTATTTGCTCTATTTTTACTTTAGTTTTCTTTATTTTTTGTAATTTGAGGAGAGTTGGATGTAACAGTGAATATATATAAATATGTACTTTAGTTACTTAGATATAAATCACAAAAGTAAAACATTTTTATTATTCCAACGAGGTCTATTTTAATATTAAGCATTGTATCCAATAGTAATTTAGGTTCTGGGAATTACTGCTAATACGTCTGTGATATATGTTGAGAAAACGTTAATATATTAAAACGCAGATCTGGCCTGCCAGCCGGGAGAATTTTACTCCTGTCACAAATAACAAAGTAAAGTTGCGGTTTTAGGTATTATTCTTTTATACTTCTAGTGGCATAGTTTTCTTTCTCTCATTCATATTATTATTTATACATATATGTATATATATGTATATAATGTAACTGAGTAATGCTATCTCATCTCGATGTTAGAGAGATGCATGAGTAAAAAAAGCAAGTAAGAAGAACATTTAATACAGTTGCCGATTATTATAAAACGATCTAGTCAGTTTGGTAGTGATAAATTATCACCTAAAAATTGTTTGTATATCTGTGATAAAAGTGAAACATCTATTTATAAAATCTGATATCTTATGACAATTAGTACATTAATATGAATCTTAGTGCGACAAATTTTTCTTCAATTTGACTAACTTACATTGCAATTACTAAACTGCAAACTAGTCGCTGTAAAACTGCAGAGGGGGCAACAAAACTTCATTTCAGTTCAATCGCAATGTGTTCTCAATATAATAGAGATATACAAGTTAATTTTCAAGCATGTGTTTAAAATAAAAAAAATATATTTACTAAGCAATTGTAATAAAATTGTATGTAACTGAGGCATTTAAGATGTTTTAGAGATGAGATCTAAGATTTTCGCGAGTTCTTTTCAGTTTAATGAAATTAATATTTTTCGGATTATACTTCTTGACTTTATTTTCGTAAAAAACTACTTACTCCCGACGTTTCGGCTACTTTTCAGCAACCGTTATCACGGACAGACGAGATGTGAATGTCTTTCAGTTGGTCTTGTTATTTTATCATCTATCGCCATCGATTTGTTAATTTTCTGGCGTACCGCTCTGAATGCCGGCAGAATGCGCCCACGGTGTCCCGAGTTTCTGCGGGGCGGTCACGGCCATGGGATTATAATTTTAATTAGTTTTATTTATTTTCTCTGTTTTAGAACTCTACTTGATTTTAATAAATTTAAATGATATAGTTCGTAATTAGTATATTTTTGGATAGGTTACCGTAATAAATGGATTTTTTTGTTTAGATTATTCTATGTGATCCATATTTGATAGGATACCTTATTGATAATGTAATATAAATATTTATCATTTCCGACAGTATTTACTGAAGTTTTATTTAACTGTTTAGACATCTATTATAAAAAAAACATACATTATTAGATATATTTCGGAGATGGTCCTTGTAACAGACAATAAGAATCAGTGAGATGGTGGCTATTTGACAGGGGCGCTGATATTACAGGAAATGCCGTTCTACAGTACATTGTACGTAGCAAAGTAAAACGAGAGCAAAAGTTATACGATTCGGGCTCAAAACAGTAAGTCGTTTCTTTTGAAATAAGTTGTAACTTAGTAGTATTCAGGGCGCTAGTTTGATTAAACACATAACTTGTAAACGTGAATATGGTATTTTCCTTAATTCTCTTCTTTTCTTTCGTTCGAAAACCTTAAATAATCTACATAACGTCTGATTTTTTTTGTAATTGTGATCTTAAATATATTTAAATTAAAAGATAAAAAATAAAATGCATATTACATTCATTTTATAAGAGGAATGTATAACAAAAGCTATAAATATGCAATGTCAATAACATTATTTGTAAAGGGGGAAACTTATACTTCAGTCATGAGAGATTTCCAACTTTGCTAAATATTCCCGTATAGACGGCGGCCATAAATCGAAGTTGAATTTGGAAAATATATTTACTCGCGAAGAGAAAGTTAGTAAAAGTTATCGGTTTAAATATGTAGAAAGTTATGGAACCTTATTTTTTCCTAGCTTCTGTAACTTTAGTCGGATGATTTTATAAGACTTGTCGCTACCATTATATTTAGCTATCAATCCCGCTACTAAAAACATAGTATATTATTTAGGATTCCATTAGTTCGAAAGTAGACTAATGTGGCCGGAGCTGTTAATTTATACAGAGCGTAAAAACAACAGCGGAAACCTACAGCTGAGACTTACATATACATATGTAGTAAAAGAATTTAAAGTAGATTTAAGGCAAAATAACTCAAAGTAATAAAATAGTCTATTAATTTAAAGAGAACAACAACCATTCTTTTAATAATTTTTGACCTTTATTTCTATTAAGATGATATATATTTATAAGTTTGTTAATTTTATTGTATAATCTTGAGCTAATAATATAATAATGTATCCCTGCAAGTTAACTTCTGTGTTTTTCAATTTGGAGTATTATATCTACTCTCCTTTTATCACGATTATCAACATAAGTTAGGGTATTGTGTTTGCATAAAACAGTTTCATAAATAAACAGTTGACGATAATAAATAATAACAGAATAATATTAAATTTTGTTATCTGGCCTTTTATGGAACTACGTTTTAAGCTTAACTCCTTACATTTAATAATAGGTTTATCTGAATCAGTAGCCATGACTTCGAATATTAAAATTAAGTTAATTTACAATATTGAAAATTCGAAAAGTTATTAATTTATCTCACTTAGCTGCACTGGTGTAAATAAAATGCGTCGTCACTCTCCTCTCTCCTTCGGCGATACTCCCAGCAAAGAAATCGGTGCTGCGTCGCTAATAGCTCGATGCACAAAACCAGCGTCCTGTCTGGCACCTGGAAATTTCGGCAGAAAGGATGACTAAAGGTGAAATAGTATGGTGCTCTAAGAGTGCAGCTATTTAATTATTTTGTTTAGCTAATTAGTGCAGCTATTACCATTATATTTGGTTATCAATCCGGATACTAAAAACATATTACATTATTTAGGATTCCAATAGTTCGAAAGTAGACAAATGTGGCCGGAGCTGTTAATTTATACAGAGGGTAAAAACAAGAGCGGAAACCTATAGCTGAGACTTACATATACATATGTAGTAAAAGAATTTAAAGTAATTTAAGGCAAAATAACTCAAAGTAATAAAAAAGTCTATTAATTTAAAGAGAACAATAAAAAAATAAGTTAAAATAATTTCGTTGGAAATCACTTGTTAATTCTAAAATCCTCAGAAAAAAGAATAATTATATCTAAACATGCTCTTTAAGTAATCCCCCTAGCCCGATGCGCTCACTCGCAATTTAGTCAATACTACGACTCTTCAGCTTAAAGAAATATAAAATATGAATATGATTTTTTATTTTTCCTTATATTGACAGCATCTGTTGATGTTAGCTAATGCTAGTTAATGCTCGAAGGTTCTTTGTAACGTGGTCCACTAAATATCTAAATGACCGTTCTGACTCGGTCGCTATAGGTTGTATGTTAAATAATTCAGTTAAATGATAGTTAATTAAGGCGTCAGGCGTCATAAAGATGTTGAAGTTGTGGCTCGGGCTCGCTCTAACGGCTGATTCATCGGCGTTATTTAGGGGAAGCAATAGTTTTGGGATGAGTCTAAAAAGGCCATCGGAGCTCTATAAACACCTAAGAGTTTCCAAGAGATATATCCTGGGGAAATCCCATGATGACATAGTGACATCGCTCCCAAAAGATGAAGATGCCCCCGAGCTAGAGTCACGACTTCAATTCCATAAGCAATTTATGATAGGAGCACAAAGTAACAGAGCGGGGTTAGGATCAAATAGGAAAGTTAGAATCAAATTGAAGTCTTTTATTCGGTAAGACGAGAATGATAAATATAAGATCCATGCAATGAATTTAGAAATGCAGAACGAGTGGTTAGACATAGGAGATTTTTGCATCCCATTAGCATTAAAATGGCGCACTTTTATTTATGATTGGTCGCCAGCATTGCTAAAATTTTATCTCAATGCGTTCTAGATGACAGAGTAATTTAGTAAGATGGGGTAAAAGTACCGAAAAAACTTGCTATTTCTGTGGAAAGGCAGTTGGAACTGCTAAGCATCTGCTGGTGGGATGTAGGGTACTCCTGGACAGCGGTCAATAGTCGCGTCGTCACGATAGGGTTCTAGAAGTCATACGTGAAGCGGTTAGTCTTTCGGTAGCCAGAGCGCAAAAGGCAATAACCACAAACGAACGATCAGTAGGTTTTGTGAGAGAAGGCACTAGGGCTACAAAATTAAACGTCAAGCCTTACTCCATCCTTAAAGCGGCGTCGGATTGGACTATAATGATGGACACGTATGAAAAGCAATATAAAATCCCCGAGGATATTTGTGCGTCGGCCTCCAGACCGTATATATTTTTGTTTTCGCGAATTTTAAAGCGCGTAGTTTTGATAGAGCTTACGGTCCCTTGGGAAACCAACATCCCCAAAGACCATACCATCAAGGTCAACAAATATTACGAGCTCACAAACGAACTCACTCGAAATAGGTTCGTAGTAGATTTGTACGCGGTAGAGGTGGGAGCGAGAGGTATAACAGCGAAATCTCTCTACAACCTACTAAAGGACTTGGGCTTGTCCAGAACTCACAATAATGCATTCTTGGAACGTATATCGAAGGCAGCCCTAGTAGGTTCTTTTCAAATTTGGTTAGGTAGGGAGAGGAGCTTGGACAGTGGAGGTGAGCGTATAACGCGCGTTAGTTAAGGGGCCCCTTAAACCTACACTTGGGTCGCAAGTCCCAGGCACTGTTGAAGCTCCTCTCCCTGCAACGCGATGGACCCGGCACCCGCATGGTGAATCCATGAAATGCTTAGTAGTTTCGTCATCGCTTATTATCGTATCGCTCGCGAACCAAAGACCTGGCTTCTTTGTAGTTGGAAGACGACACTTCGAGATTTGCAATTAGTCGTGCCTCATCTCCCTCCAGATACGAAATTAAATAATGATATTTGTTTCAAAGTTTCAAATTTATTTAATTTTAAAGATAATTCTGCTACGCTAGTACTAGATAGTTGAATTGACTCTAATGTTGTTAAATAATTTTTAAATTTTGTAATCTGGCCTTTTATGGAAATACGTTTTAAGCTTAACTCCTTACATTTAATAATAGGTTTATCTGAATCAGTAGCCATGACTTCGAATATTAAAATTAAGTTAATTTACAATATTGAAAATTCGAAAAGTTATTAATTTATCTCACTTAGCTGCACTGGAGTAAATGAAATGCGTCGTCACTCTCCTCCCTTCGGCGATACTCCCAGCAAAGAAACCGGTGCTGCGTCGCTAATAGCTCGATGCACAAAACCAGCGTCCTGCCTGGCACCTGGAAATTTCGGCAGAAAGGATGACTAAAGGTGAAATAGTATGGTGCTCTAAGAGCGCAGCTATTTAATTATTTTGTTTAGCTAATTAGTGCAGCTATTACCATTATATTTGGTTATCAATCCGGCTACTAAAAACATATTACATTATTTAGGATTCCAATAGTTCGAAAGTAGACTAATGTGGCCGGAGCTAATGCTAATGCTAGTTAATGCTCGAAGGTTCTTTGTAACGTGGTCCACTAAATATCTTAATGACCGTACTGATTCGGTCGCTATAGGTAGTATGTTAAATAATTCAGTAAAATGATAGTTAATTAACAATCGCTTCTTTGTAGTAAGAAGATGACACTTCGAGATTTGCAATTACTCGTGCCTCATCTTTCTCGAGATACGAAATTAAATAATGATATTTGTGAATATCGGATAAATGTTCGTTTTCGAGCACTACAGTTTGAAAAGTATGTCGGAATTCCAGCCAGCGGAAATATGCGCCGTCAAATTTAGCGATTTGAATTTGTGGCAACTTAAAACCAAGACTGTCAGGATCATGATGGTGATGGCACGAGGTTGCAGGAGCTTAAGATTTACGTCGCGCTTCAGATTGTATTTTCGCATTTTCAATGACAATTTTAGCTGTTGCTATGCAAGAAATAATTTCGCTTTCGATGCCATCTCTCTCATTGATCTCAGAGTCTAAGTTTTGATAATTTCATTTCATTTCAGTTTGTAAATTTTCAAATTTAGTACATAAAGTTTGAAATTTATTTAATTTTAAAAATAATTCTGCTACGCTAGTACTAGATAGTTGAATTGTCTTTAATGTTGTTAAATAATTTTTAAATTTTGTAATCTGGCCTTTTATGGAACTACGTTTTAAGCTTTACTCCTTATATTTAATAATAGGTTTACCTGAATCAGTAACCATTACTTCGAATATTAAAATTATGTTAATTTACAATATTGAAAATTCAAAAATTTATTAATTTACCTCACTTAGCTGCACTGGAGTAAATTAAATGCGTCACTCTCCTCCCTTCGGCAATACTCCCAGCAAAGAAACCGGTCCTGCGTCGCTAATAGCTCGATGTACAAAACCAGCGTCCTGCCTGTCACCTGGAAATTTCGGCAGAAAGGATTACTAAAGGTGAAAAAGTATGGTGCTCTAAGAGTGCAGCTATTTAAATAACTTAGAGTATGACTACGTATTGCACGCACATGAACACGTGGCACTATGATGAAAATGTATAATATGTAGTTATTTATTTATTGTAGTTTTAAAAGGGATGTATTTCGTAGTATCGTAATCGTTCTAGCTTAGATTAACTTTTAGTGTTTTATATGAATTTATGTACGTAAATATAAAATATTTAAATGTAGTGAAAATTTTGAAATAATTCAAAAGAAATTGTTTTAAAATAGTGAGAGAGTAATTTTGTTTATTATTCATAATAAGAAGTTGAATAAGACTTTGAACTTGAACTTAAATTCGTTTGACCTTTGTACTTATGACGTGTCGAAACAAAAATAGGCATATATTTCTGTTAATTATTAGGAATTAACACTCACTGTTTTGGAATAATTGATTGCAAATAATTTTAAAATATGAATAATGCACTGTGCAGGCAATGAAGTAAAGAATAGTTAATAACGTGGTTTGTAGGAAGGACAAAGGAAGGACACTATGTTTTCATAGAATGCTGCCGTAATCGTGGCGAAGTCTTTGTGATATTGCTTCGCTGCCGGACTCGACGACAACCAGAAATGATGAATTCGTCATCGTCTTCGATAAATAATGAATGCGATGCCGTTACCTTTTGATAACCTGGCACGTCGACACCTCGTATCTTGATTTGTTGATTTTCGTATTTATACGTCGATCACGTCGGGGTCACCAATTTATGTGTTCAAATGAGACACTTGCGAGACTTATTATTAAGAATAAAACCCGAAAATACTGTAAATCTTTTCTAATTTCAGTTTCAATAAACAGTTCCGTTGCACAGTACAAAGACGAGTTATGAAATACGTTTTAGACAAAGAAAAGATTTATATTATAATTATGTGTTGGGGTAGTATTAGAAAAAATGACAATAGTTGCCCCTGTGTAAAAAAGATGGTTGACGGTTGATGTCAACATCATTGCTCTGTGAATTATAGAGCCGCGACACTTGGTGAAATAATTATTTCTGATCATTAGTTTATAAGAGCGAGTTAATTATATCAAAATGATAAACTCATTATTTAATATTTAATATCTGAATAAATAACTCAAAGTACATGTTGATTTGTAGTAGATACTTAAATCTATATCTCTTTTCATTTTAGTTTCCTGTTTAATTGAAAAGCATTCTCATGAAATTTTAAACATAATTTTGTTGTTTGGTAAAATGTAGATTAATATAAAAATACTTTCCTTAGAAAATATTAGACTAATATATTTAAAATCCTACAATAACTTTATTTTTAGTCAGAGTATATTCAATGAACACAAAATTTGAATAGTAGTTGATAAAAGTGGCTATGTGATTTAAATTTCAAATATAGCACACAATGAAATAATGCCATGTTTTGGTTTAGCTTGCATTAGGTGGTAAGGCTCATGTAAGCTTAATTGGTGCGAGCGATGCTTTTACTATATCAGATTTCCTATTGCTATCAGTAACCCCACATTCTAATTGTGGCTACAAAGTATCAAATAGAATGGAACAGTGTTATTTTTAATATCAATATATTAAACTTAATCTTAATTTTCGGTGGAAAGTTCTCTTATAAATTATCTGGTTCTTTTAATGCCATTGATAAAGGAATATCTAAATATGTTCCCTTTCGTGAAATAAAAACAAAAATGTTAAAGTACTCAACACATACATGCTTATTTAATTGTGACTGGAACGTTTAACATCTTTTTAGATATACTGTTAAAATAATTTAGATAGTAATAAAACTTGTGAAGTATGTAGTAAAATTATATAAAATTAAAGGTATTTTTTTTATTTCATATATAAAACAAGAAAGCATTTCTCCTAATCTTACTATATGATTCAATGAAATTGAAAGCCATTTAAGTTGATTTCGAATTAAATTAATATAGATTGTTTGAAAAAAAGTTAACAAGTAATTATTTACAAATTGATAATAATTATAATTTTGATCAATCCAGTGAATATTCAACTATACATTTAGTCTATATGAGTATTTTTAGCAAGCTTATTTGACAAGAAAAAAGCAGATATTGATAAAGTAAAAAGTTTTTTTCACTTTTAAAATATAAGTGTCAACTGAACTAGGTATATGATGAGAAGAATTTTTTCGGTTACTTTTATTCTGACATCTATCTAATTTATTTTTACTACGATAATCATTTTTTTTATAGGAGGTAATAAAGTTATTTGCATTTACCTATTAATACACAAATTAACCACGTAAAGAGTTAGTACTTTTAGATTATTTATTACATTTTTTCATCATCATTTCAAGCCAGCATCTATAGATTATAAATACAAGTTGATAATTAAAGTTGCCATTCTTAATTACAGTGGTTGAGTATTGTAATTAATTATAATCAGTCATCAAAATAATTCTAAGGATTATAGTTTATTATAATTGGTACGACACGGATGGTATTGTAAAAATTGTTCGATTTTTAATTTCTAAAAATTTGGAATTTATAAAAACAAATAAGCTTAAAATAATTTTATAGTGACACTACTTGTCGGTAAAATCATTTTAAGGCCTGGACGAGTTCGAGAAAAAGCAGTTGATCTTGTAGAATGTAATGTTGCAAGACCAATTCGAAAGTCTTTCATATTTAAAGCTTAACAGAATAAAATTGTATAGACGGTCGAATCGCTTGTCCATCCCCGGTATTGCAGTCATATTCAATTTCATGGTAAAAAATAATTGAGTCTCAAATTTTCCTTTGTGTCCGCTGCTTTAACAGTTTATTGGTTTGTGACCATTATAGAAAAAAAAAATATGTTTCAGTTGTTACTATCTTACTTCATAATTTAATAATTAAGCCAGTGTTATCATTTAAATGCATATATTTATATGCATATGCGTATAAACCTATTAAACTAATGCTGAGATGGTGTTGAATGAGACATAATAACTTCTTATGTGTGAAAAGTCGTGTTATATAGAACGTTATCTCGATCGCTTGATAATGCTGTTCCTTAATGATCTTATGTAATTTTGGAATTAGATTTTAACGGGAACAATAGTACAAAGATTTTTAATTATGAACGACTAGTTTTTGCCCGCGACTTCGTCCGCGTTAGTTTGGTCAAGAGTAATATATGTAGGTGTAGCTGACCAGTCGAACTCTATTCCGTCTTAGAGGCCATAAATAATCAGGTTTTTCCTGTTTCAATCAAACAG